AATATCATTAGCATTCATGCTGCTGTGGTTATCATTATCATTATTAACACTGTTACTTATATCATAATTATCGCTACTGTTTTTTATTGCTATTATCATTATTTTCATCATTATTGTTATTGTTATTATCATTATCATCATCAGTATTATCATTATAATTATCATCATTATTACCATCTTACTATCATCATTATTACTGCTATCATTGTTATTATTATTATCATCGTCATTATCATTATCATTATTATTATTGTTATCATTATCATCATCATCATTATTATCATTATCGTTATTATCATTATCATTACTATTGTTATTATCATTATTATTACTACTATTATTTTTTGTCATTTTTATCATTTTATTATTATTATGACTATTGCTGTAGTTGTTATTATATATCATCATTATTGTTATTATCATGATTATTACTGTTATTATCATTACCATCATCATTATCATCATTATTTTCTATCATTGTTATCATTATCAGTATCATCATTTTATCATCACAATTACCATTGTTGTCATTGTTATTATTGATATTATTATTATCATTATGATCATTATTATCATAATCAATATCATTGTTATCATTATTATTATTATCATTATCTTTGTTATCATAATCATTACCTGTTATAAATCTTATGATTATCTTGTTATTATCACTACTGTCATTGCTATCATCAGCAGCAGTATTATTATTGCTGTTACTATCAATTTGTCATTAATATTATTAATATCATTATCAATGTTATCATTATCATCATCACTATCGATCTGATTAATGATGTTATTATTATTATTGTTGTTGTTATTATTATCATTATCATTATTATTGTTAGCATTATTGTTAGCATTCTTACTATCTCCCTTATTATCATTACTGTTATCATCACTTTCATCACTAATATCGAGTTTTACAATAAATCCCCATGTTGTGATTATGATATTGTTGATAAATATCATTATTTTTTACTATACCCCGATAACTTGTTTTTCGATTTTTCTTATCAATTGATAAACCGTATGGGAAGTGGTTTTAAATACACATCGCAGATACTCATTATTGTTAACTGTTTTTCACAAAACATAACACCAATACGTTTTATGTTAAAGAAAATGCAGAATTATAGATTATGATTTACATTTTTCTATTTTGGTTCAACTCTTTCTAACGCGGAATTAGGAGCTCAGTCAGACGCCGGGAATAACAATACAAAACCTTCGCGAATCGCGAGACAGACGAATGAGAAAGGAAGAACCGTTCGAGTCTTCACGAAGTAAACTTCGGAAAAAAATATTTTGAGTGCAGTGAACCCAAGTCCTATTAATGGACGTTGAACTTTCTCCAGATCCAGGAGAAAAACCTGAAATCAAAATGAAATGACTTACGATTCTCAATCATAGAGAAGACCTAGATAAAATAGTGAAGTGAGCAAGAACCAACTCCTGAGCATCCCCGGAAGAACGGAACCGGCAGGAGCGGCATGGAAGCTCAACCAACTACATCTGATTACACAACAACAAAAAGGCAAGATAGTTCTAATGGATACTTATTAACTTGGCAGGTGAATCAAAAGATTCAAATTTTAACAACGCAATTACATTAACTGAATCGTTAAATAAATCAGAATTCAACAAATACATCATTGAAAACTCCATCAGAATTTTGGGAATAGGAAAAGCTGTAAGATTTGAGGTAAGTGATATAAACAAAATTGACCTCTTAACCAAATTCACAACCTAGGCGAAAGGGAGATTACATGCAAACAACCTGCATCCAGTAGAAATATAGGCTGCTCTCATGGGACAATTTACCCAGTAGAGACAAATATAAGCCTAGGAGATATAAAAGAAAAAATGAAAACGATTTCTGGATATAACTCCAAAATAATAGAAATAATAAGAATAAAAAAACAACAAAGAAAGAAAATGAAATCAAATGGACAGAAACCAAGTCCTCTAAAATAACACTTTTCCTATTCCTAAATGCTTCAGATGTCTTAGGTATGGCCATGGGATCATGACTTGTAAAGGCAAACAGCAATGTTACAAGTGTAGTCAATATGACCATAGTCATAAAGATTGTATGAATCCAGCTTATTCCTTCTTTAGCCAGGGAGACCACCCATCAAACACAAACCCATGTAAAATACATAAAAAAGCACAGAAAATAAACACAAAAAAACACTACACCTTGAAATAAAAAAAGTTTCAAGAACTAAAGCCAATTCTAAAACACAAATGAAATGCCTCTTACAACACAAACAAACCACCACAAACATGATAAAGAAACAACAAGTCAAGGAAAAAACAAATACTCAAACATCAGGTCAAGCTACAACATATGCTCAGACATTATACCAATCACATAACTTTAGGACAAGTAACACCTACAAGAACAAAAAAAAAACAAAAAAAAAACACACAAACAATAAACAATATGACACTGCATATACACCAGAAACAGCAACACAAACAAATAGAAGATTCAAAGAAGAAACAAAACAATCCCAAACAAGGTTCAACAATCACACTTTCCAAAGTGACTCTCCAGTAGCTTGGTCACAACCAACTCCAATAAGAGAAACAAAAAAACAAAAAGATAGACAAATGAACGAAAAATATCTCATGGATAGAAACAATAAAAGAAGTAGGTAATATAATAACAAAGGTAATAAGTAACATGAACTCAGAAAAATCAATAATAGAAGTAGTCTCAGAAGGCATCAAAGAAACTATGCCAATATTAAAGAATTTGTTTAAATATCTAAATGAATAAAACAATATTTTGGAATTCAAGATCAGTTCTAAACAAACAAAAAATAGAATTAGAATACATAGTAGATAAAGAACAACCAGAGTTGATAGAAATTTGTGAAACATGGTTAAAGAATAATGATACATTTACATTGCAAGATTATCAAGTAATACAAAAAAGTAGATTAGATCAAATTGGAGGGGGTCTAGCCTTTTGCATAAGAAATGATATACAATTTCAGAAAATAAATTTAAATGACAATTATGAAGATAGATTAGAGACAATAGGATTAAAGATTAACTACAAAAACAAATGGTTAAACATTCTTCTAATGTACAATCCTTGCAACAATATAAAAACAGAAGAACTAGAATACTATACAAAACAAATTGAAGAACCAAAACTCATCATAGATTTTAATGCCCACCATAGAAGTTGGAACCCCAAACTAAGAAATTGGTCAATAAACAATACAGGCAAATCTATATTTGAATTTATCAATCAAAACAACATAATCTTGTTAACACCACCAGGTCTAGTAACAAGAATAGACCCTAAAACTGCTAAAGGAACAAGAATAGACCTGGTATTAGCATCACCAATATTAAGCCATTTAGAAATAGAAACAGGCCCAAATCTAGGGAGTGATCATCTCCCAGTAATTATAAATGATAATAATTTCACAAAAATCTCTCAGTCCAGAGAAAGAATGGAAATACACAGTGGAAGGATGGGGTAATTTTCAAAAAGAATTATCAGATATAGATCTAAATAACATAAACTCCATGGAAGAAATAATGAAGATTTTAAAAGAGACGGGATCGAATTGCTTCAAATTTGAAAGTGGAAATAATGTAAATAAACCAAAAAAGCCTTGGTGGAATGAAAAATTGCAGAGAAATAACAAAAATGAGAAATAGAGCATTCAATAAATGGAGGGAAAAAAACAAAGAAAACCAAGTAGTATATAAAACTCAAGTAATAAAAGCAAGACAGACAATAGAAAAAGAGAAAGGGGAATCTTGGAAAACTTTTGCTCTTTAGATTTCAAAACCCCTCCCAAAAAGATCTGGAATTTCTTAAAAAAAAAAAAAAAAAAAAAAAAAAAAGTAGTAGTTACTAAATATCCTTTAGAAGATAATGGTCAGCCAGTGACAGAGATACATAAAAGATTAGTATTCAAAAACGAATATAAAAAAACTAAAAGATCCAGAAAAGATATTGACAGAAGAGGAAAGAGAGATTATTAAATCCAGGCAACACAGAAATAAATGATAAAATATATATTAATTGATTTGGGCAATAAGAAATGCAAAAAGAAACAAAGCATATGGGCCAGACGAGATACCCTATGAATTTTATAGATATGCCCCAGTACAAGTAATTGAAAAAAATATTAAATGTATTTAACCAATATTGGAACAAAGGTGAAAATCTAAAAGAATATAAGAATGTAATGATAAATCCTATCAATAAACCAGGCAAAAATCCAGCAGAAGTAGAATCATATAGATATATCAGTAGGATATAGACTTCAGGAAAAATCTTTGAAAATATAATAACAGAGACTTAATTGGTGGCTGGAGGCAAATGACAAATTAGACAAAGATCTTATGGGATTTAGAACAAACAAAAACACAAAGAATCTTATGG